CGCTGGCATCACGGAAGCGGAGAACTGCAGAAGGCAGGAGAGCAGAGCGCACACGCCGCTTCCGCCTCGGAAGAAGGACTCAGGCGGGCCGCCGGCGCCGTGCGGCCGGGCCAGGCTGTCCTGGGCGGCTGTAAGTCTGGGCCCTGAGGACGCCGCCGCGGTGACGCCGAGGAGAAACCTGTGCTGCCGGCCGGTTCCCCGCCTCCGCGGGAGCCGAGGGAGCGCAGAGCCTGCGGAGGAACGCGTCCAGTAGCGGCCTCCGAGCCAAGCGGAGTTGCACGCGCCACCCGGTCCGGGGAGGCCGGAGCCCCCGACTTTAAACTCTGCAGGAGCGGCACTGCGCCGGAGCAGTGGGCAGCAGGCCCACAAGGCCGCCGTCTTGGGTCGCTGCTGCCCCTTCCGAGCCCTGGACCTCGCTGCGTCCCGGAGGCCACGCTTCCCGCACTCCGCGGTCGGGCGGAGGGCGCGGAGGGGCCAGGCTGCTTTCTTTCGGTACTGGGGATTAAACCAGCGTCCTGTGGGCTACATCCTCAGCCTTTCCTTTTTTCTTTCTTTTCAAATATTTGGACAGAGTCTTGCGGAGTTACCCATTTACCTTTGAGTTGCAGGTGCTATAATCCGTGGCAGTTAATGGATAAGATGAAACAAAAGTAATACAAATTAGCCTAACAATTGTTTGTCTTCTAGTTTAATGGGCCATAAGTGAAAGCTGCTTGGGAAGGTATTCCTGTCCCCTGTGACCAGGCAGTGGCGGAGAAGCCCGATCTTTCAAGCCTGGCTCGGGTGTGCGCTTTAAGCAGAACGCTCCTCCAGTGTAACTGGGACGTCCGCCTTCACTGGTGTCTGCTCTGGACGAGGCAGCGATCGACCCTCTCGGGCTGACTGTGGCTTCCGGGAGCCGTAACTGGCTTGGACAGACAAGACAGCCGCAGCGAGCGCTTCGGAGTGGACAGTGGCGGGGCTACGTCCGGGCAAGGACGAGTGTCCCCACAGGCTCCCGTGGCCCAGAGGCTGAGGACTGGCTCCTGAGGCAGAAGGGAATCTTGGCAGCTGGCAGATCTGTCATGTGTCTCTGGTATTAACTGAGACAGGTCCAAGGCCAGGCGGGTGGGGACAGGACCTTCAGGAGCAGCGGGATGGACTCAGGGACTCAGCACAGAGCACGCAGGGGCCCCCGGGCGGTGCCATTTGGGCTGTAGAGACCATAACACCGCCGTCCTCTCGCCTGTCACTCGCCTTGGCATGGCTGCAGGGGGAAGCAAGACTAGAGCAGCTCCCCAGAAAGAGGAATGTGGTGATCAGTTAGTGCCGTGTGCTCTAGGGAGAGAAACAGAGCTCTCTTCTTTCCCCTTAGTGACTGATCGATCGATTGATTGATTGAGAGGGTCTCGCTGTGTCGCCCAGGCTGGCCTTAAACTCAAGTGATCCTCTTGCCTCAGCCTCCTGGGTGCTGGGATTACAAGCATGTGCCACATGGGTCAGGAACACAGGAGAGGGGCCGGGGATACAGCTCAGTGGTTATAGCGCCTACCTGGCAAGTGCAAGGTCCTGAGTTTGATGCCTGGCACCAAAAAGAAAAAATAGAGGAACAGAGGAGAAACTATAGCTGGCCAAGGAGATGTGTCCTCCACGGCCTCTGGGAGCTGGAGATTTTGAGGCCCTGGGCTGGGAAGGCTGTCCACCTTCCGGCATCACGGAGAGAGGAGAGCGGAGAAGCCTGCTGCGACTTAGCTGTCCTCCCGTCAGATGGGAGGAAACGCTGCCCCAATACCGCAGCCCTGTCCGGACATGCCTGGTTTCCGCTTCACTCGGCCTCACACCGAGCTACGTTTGTAGTTTGAAACAGGGTCTTGCTAAATTGCTAGTTTGCCCAGGCAGAGCTGGAACTTGCAATCTTCCTGCCTCAGCCACCCAGAGTGCTGGGATCACCTGTGTGTGCCACTGGGCCCGGCTACATTTCCTTTCTATTTGGGAATAAATCTACCCTGCCCCCCTGCCCGGCTTTGGATAATCCCAGCCTGCTTCTCTCTGGTCCTCTACGTGGGTCTCATGCCCTGAGCAGGGCTGGAAACCTCTCCCGGCTCGTAGCCTCGCTTGAGCTTCACCCCGGACAGCGCTGGTTCTGACCTGACCTGACCTTCCCCGTGGTCCCCTAGCTGGACAGAGAAGAGGAAACGGCACTATTCTGGGCCAGGTACAGGGGGCTGCTACCTGCACAGGGACCCGCTTGTCCCCCCAATCTCCCCGATAGAAGAACTGTGCGGCAGGAAAGGAAAGTGCCAGCTGCAGTGCCCCACAGGGCCCAGTGCCACCCAGGAACTGCCCGGCCCCGTAGCCACTGCTCTGCCAGTGCCTCCCGAGCGCAAGCCCAGCCTGGTCTGTGACAGTGTCAGCTGTCACATTACACATCATGCCACATCTCATAGGACGTCGGGCTGAACACATGGAGACAAAGGTGTCTCTGAAAATAAAGAGACCAGAAGGCTGATGCAGGAGGATTGCCACAAGTTCAAGACTAGCCTGGACTATATAGTGAGTGCAAGGCCAGCCTGGGGCACACAGTGAGACACTGTCTCAAAATACAAATAAAAATAATAAAATAAAATAAGGTAGGAGCAGTTTCCTGTTGCCACTTTGGGGGAAGATGTTCTCAGAGCTCCCTGGCACCGGCACCGTAACCGGGGTTTTCAGTGGTGTGAGTGCGACAGCGACCTCTCAGGCCAGAGCTTCAGCGGTGCTCTGGGACAGCAGAGCTGCAGTAAGCTTTAGAGGAGGCTTTTTGCATAATAAAAGTCGTAACTGAGAAACGCCAGCCACAGCCTTCCCACGGCTCTGGGGCGCCGGGGCGACGGAGGATTCCCGGGAGCACAGGGCTGGCCTTTGGCGCGGGTTTCGCCAGGACACCGCCCCCCGACACTGGGCGGCCGCTACAGAAGCTCCTGGGAAACACACTGCCCCTCCGCTGGAAATGTGCACAGAATTCCTCCGTGTGGAGCGCAAATGGGTCTGTTATTTATTGATCCTTTTGATAAGGCAAACCGACAGTATCTACCAATAATTTCAATAATAATTTTTGAAATAATGATTTCAACCCAGTAACTCCACTCCTGAGACCTGATCTCCAGGAACTAATCCATAGGAGGAAGACCAGACGTGTTTCTACAATGGCATGATTCATAGCTAGCAGGAGGCCAGAAACAACCTAATTCTTCAAAAGTAAAGGAACCCGCCCCCGTACATTTGCTCCCAGGATTCTCACACCTGTGAGAATACTATAACACTCACACATGTGTTGTAGTATTCGGCCGCTAAAAGTGCGATCTCAGTGTGCAGCTCAAAAAGCAGGATCCCGGAGAGGCCCGAAGCAAAGTGGGAATGTGCGGCGGCCGCATTCCCAGCTCAGCCTGGGGTAGAAATCAGGGAAGGGGAAGGCGGACAGGCACTGCCGCTGGATGGGGCCACGGAGGCCCCCGGAGAGGCGATAGGACCCCAACCCTGGCCTGCGGTGGCGGCTCGGCACTCACTCTGTGGGGAACTCCAGGCGCGCCCGTGGGGGGGGCAGGGTTGGCGGGAGAGGGTGAGGGGCAGGAAAGGACCCAGCGCAGCAGCGGGGCCTCCCCCTGGGCTCACAAGGCTGAGGCAGCAGCTGCGGATGAGCCGGGTGCCTGCTCCGTCTTGCCTCAGTCCTGCTTCCCGGCCCCGGAGTCCTCACGCTCGGGGACAGTTGGGTCCCCTGAGAAGATCAACTGATCTCTTGCTTGGAGGGGCTTCCGGGTCCCAGGGCTGCCACTTCCGCTGGGGAGGACCTCGTCTTGGGGAGCTCAGTGGGCGCTACATCCCCTTCTCCCCCCACCGGTGGAGGTGACTTAGAGACCTCCAGGCGTTGCTTCTGACCCTGGACACTGTGAACGCGGGGCGTCTCCGCAGACCCTGAAGGCCACTGTCGCTTCTCTCATCCTGGTGTCCTCAGTCGTGAGGGCATGAGATGAGCTTGGGGCTAGTGAACCTTGCACTAAGCCAGGTGGTGTGTGTTCCTGTCATCCCGTACTCTGGAGGCTGAGGCAGGAGGATGAGGCAGGAGGGTGGAGAGGTCCAGCCCTGCCTGGGCAATTAGGGACTTGGCACTTACAGAGACCCCACTTCAGAAGAAAAAACAGACGAGGCTGGGTGGGGAAGTCCTGGGTTCAGTCCCCGCCTTGTACCAGAAGAGCAAAGAGAAGACAGAAAGAGAAGGCAGCAAGAAAAGGCCTTGCCGCAAGATGCCCCTGAGGTGTTCTCCCACCCAGGAGCGGAGCCAAGCCCGAGTCTGACCCGCTTTTAGGGTTCAGGGGAGGCCCAGCCTGGGTTTCCTGCTCTTCCTGTCTCCTGACTTCTGTCCACCTCACACCAGTGGGACAGCGCTGCCCTGAGGCTCAGGAGGCACAGGAAAGGGTGGACGCCTACCCATGGCCCCAGCGCCAGCTGCCACTCCTTGTCCGGGCCTCCCTGTGGCAGGGCCACCTGCTCCTGCGCCCTGGCTCCGTGGGCTCCGTGTCCCCGCGGGCACCAAGCAGCTCGCTGCTCCCCGGAGGCCTGATCCGCCTGAGCTGGGCTCTGCTGCAGCCTGTCCTGCTGCAGCTTTGCTGGAAGCCCCCGCAGCCCGTGAACCAGACCCTGGCTGCACAGACCTGGGAAGCTGCGGTGACGAAACCCAGGAGGGGAGGAAGGGAAAGACAGGAGGCGGGGCGGGTGCGGCCCAGGGTGCTCACCGGCATGCAGGGCTCGGTCTCTGGCACCCCGAAGAGGTGGTTACCTGAGCACGGGGAGACTCTAGGAGTCCTGAAACACTACGATTGCTTTCCTTTGTAAAGAGGGTTTCCCCGCCTTTTCCAGCTGCAACTTATGATACTCCTGTTCCCTAAACAGTAGCCTGGGTGCAAGGGTGTCTGGGGGCTGTGGGGCCGGGCGGGAAAGGCTCGAACGAGACTCACAGATGCTGACGCTGCTGCTCTACCTGGCAGGGACGGGAACCTGGCCACGAAGCAGGTCGTCTTCCTGCAGAGGCCAGCGCTGTGCGGCTCGGCGGTCCAGACCCTCGAGGTGAGTGCTGGGCTTCAGGGACCGGGTCTGACGTGGAGCCCGCTAACCCTAAACTCACTTATCGTCCGAGAAGTGGGCACGGAGGAGGAGGAGACAGCTGTGAGGGGCTGAGTCCTAAAATGCATCTGTCCGTCCCTGGGGTGAGGGACTTCCAGCTGTAGACGAGCGAGGAACAGCACCAGCAGCCCCTGGTGCGACCCGTGAGCGACCGAGCCTTTGCTCTAGCATTCCTGCCCTTGTGTGCATGCAAAAATGCACATTTACAGAACACTCCAGGAACTGTGCCAAGATTCTAAGGGTGACATTTCCAGGAGACAGAGACGGGATTACAGATGAGTTTTGCTTTTTTCTCTGCTTTTACCAGGTTTCCTTTTCTTTTGGGGGGGCAGTGTTTATTTTGAGACAGGGTCTCAATGCTGTGCAGTTCAGTGGTCTTGAACTCACGGTTGTAGTCCAGCTGGCCTTGAACTCATGTTGACCTTCCTGCCTCAGCCTCCTGAGTGCTGGGATCACAGGCGTGCGCCACCACACCTTGCTTAACAGGTTTTCTATGTGAGTTATCTTTGTAATTGAAAGACAGTTTCATTCAGAAAACACAAATGTTTTAGCACAAGTCTCCTCATCTTCTTATAAGTGTGGAAGGATTGAAGCATTTGGGGCCAACACCCGTGACCTTGGACGGGCCCGGGCTCCCTCCAGGCCCGGCTCACGGCCAAGGCCTCCTAGAATCTGATGCGCTTCAGCCCCTATGCGAGGGGTAGTTCTGGGAACAAAGGAACCACACGCTGGGAAAGTGAAGAGGTGTTCATTAAACCCAACAGTCACATGGTAAGAAAGCTAAATTGTGTGCCTGTGCGGAAGTTGTGCGGAAGCCCTGTAGAGGAGCAGCGGTAAGTACCCCGTCACCTAACATTTACAACAGGCGGCTGCTCACTTACCAATGCTTCTCTGAAACTGCATTTTTTTGTTTTTGTTTTTTGTTGTTTTTTTTTTCCGGTTCCAGGAATCGAACTCACAACCTTGCACTTGCCAGGCAGGCGCTGTGCCGCTGAGCTAAATCCCCAGCCCCCTCTGAAAGTGAACTGATAGGGCATGGTGGTGCACACCTGTAATCCCATGCTCACAGGGCTTGGGCAGCGGGATGGCTATGAGTTCGAGGCCAGCCTGCGCTACGTGTCAGGACCCCATCTCAAAAAACAAAACAAGACAAAACAAAAAGTGAATTAATATTAGTATGTTATTTTGAACAGTATCCAATAGTTATTAAAGTGTCTTTCCCAGGTATACTAAGTCAATACCTGTAATCTAGCTCAGGAAGCAGAGGCAGGAGGATCACAAGTTTAAAGCCAGCCTGGACAACTTAGTGACACTTTGTCTCAAAATAAAAATTAAAAAAGCTCAGTGACAGAGTGTTTGCCTAGCATGTGCAAGGCCCTGGGCTGAATCCCCAGGGCCCAAAACAATCCTTCCTGAGTGGGCGTTGGAGGGATTCATTCCCCAGTGCACCCGAGGCCCATGCTACGAGGACAGGGAGGGAGAGAGGCTGCCTCTTCTCAGACTCCCGTCCTTTCAGAGCTAATCCCAGCACTCTGGGAGGCTGAAGCAAGAAGATCACAAGTTTGAGCCCAGGCTGCGCAATTTAGTGACTTAGTGGGACCCTGTTTGAAAATTTAAAATATTAATAACAATGATAATAGTAATAATTTCAGCCCTTATATTTAGGAAAATGTAATCTTAGCTCCCAACTCATACACAAACAATCTTGGGTAAATGGACCCTTTGTAAACGGGAAAATTACTGTGCTTTCAAAATGCATCTTTTAAAAAATGAAAATAAAAAAAAACATGCATCTTTAGCCAGGTGTGGTGGCACACGCCTGTGATCCCGGCACTTGGAAGAGGATTGCCGCAAGTTCGAGACCAGCCTGGGCTACAAAGCAAGTTCAAGGCCAGCCTGCACTGCACAGTGAAACCCTGTCTCAAAAGAACCAAAACAAAAAAGCAAGAAAAACAACAACAAAAATGTATCTTTAATCTCGGGGCGGTTTTGTGTGCCGAGAGCACGTGGCCCTGCTGCGGCGTGTGGCGCGTATCAGCAGTGAGTGGCGTGCGGGGTGAGGGCGCTCAGGAGCCGATGTCCCCACAGGGCCTCCGGCCTCCCTCCTGAGCTCCAAGTCCCAGCTCGTGCCTGCGGCAACCCAGTCCCCTGGCAGAGGCCGAGGCCTGTCCAGCTGAGCTGCCCGGGGCACTGTCGGCTCTGCGTAAATGCCTGAGCAGATGCCTCAGCAGGTGGCCTGTGGGCACAGCGGGTTGTCACGGGGCCCGGCGGGGCCAGGCTGCTCGGCCGAGCAGGCCCGGCTGGATGCCCCGTGCCTGTGTTTCTGCTCTTGGTGCCCAGCGGACGCAGCGGGCACAGGGGGCTCCTGTCCCCTTGCTGGCTCCCCGATGCGACTGCACCCTTCCCGCCTCTGGGAGGGGCGCAGCGCAGTGCACAGCGAGGAGGCCGCTGCGGCCCTGTCCTCCGCGTTCCGACGGCCGTGTCTAACGCACTGTCCCATGTTGCAGAGCGAGGGCAGCCCGCGCGGGCGAGGCGAGGACCGGACCGCGGCCAGCAGCAGGAGCCCCGGCTTGGACACAGGTGCGAGGTCACCGCAGGAGGGCAGGTCCCCGGCCCTGGGTGGCCTCTCGTCCCTGTGCCCATCCCCGTTGCGGGAGGGCTGGGCCAAGGAGGGGAGCCCGGCCCAGGGCAGCAGTGCCCTCCGCGAGCTGGACGACGGGCAGTGCGACCCTGAGGACGGACTGATGCAGGTCACCTGCATGTGACCCCGGGACTCGGGAGAAGGCGGGAGCTCCCGGAGTCGGCCTCGCCGGCCCCAGTGCCACGTCCATGCCCGCGTCCTCCAGACTCGCCCTTCGCCTGGTCTGTGTAAGCCGGGCACCAGCTCCCAGGCAAGGAAAAGTTATCACGGTGTCTGCACATTTAGAGCCATGTTTACAACGTCGACTAACACCGCGGAGCAGACCCTTAGGCGGGGGCGCAGTGACCGGCTTCAGTTCTCACGAGCACAAAACGCGCTTTCCTCAAGCTGTTCAAAGGACTGAACATCCCAACCTGGCTCCTCCAGACAGCCTTTCACCCAGAGTGCTCAGGAAAGGGGTCCGTGGTAAACTAAAAGTTAATCAACCCCTCTTCTCCTCTGTGTCTATCTCTCTGTCATACACACACGGATGATTAGTGAAAGTAAACTATTCCCTGAACATAACAGCCTACGTTGTCTTTGATGGCGGCGTGTATGTGCAAAGCAAGCCCCTACTGGTTAAAGTAGTCTTTGAACCAAAATCTCTTCCATGTGCCTTGATTTTTAGGGTTATTGTGTGACCAACCCAATGTCGACGCACCGCACATCAGCGGTGCCAGCTCTGACGGCGCAGAGCCCGCAAGGCAGCGCCTGTACAGGGCACGTGTGTAAAGCACACGTGTGTAACGCACGCAGGAGTGAAGCACACTCATGTAAAGCACTATGTGGTGCACGCCCTACAGACATTTTCCAAAGGGCCGCGGGTGGAGCTCAGCACAAAGCCCTGGGCTGGAGCCGCAGTACCACAAACACCACACTGAGCCCAGTCTCTTACAAACAGGTAAAAGCTGTGATCAACAGAAAGACAGGCCAGGTGTGGTGGCGCACGCCTGTAATCCCAGCACTCGGGAGGCTGAGGCAGGAGAATCATCGTGAGTTCAAGACCACCCCGGGCTACAAAGTGAGCTCTAGGAAAGCCGGAACTGCATAGTGAGACCCTGTCTCAAAAAGACAAAAAACCAGAAAGACTTGATTTCCTCTTTTAAACTGTAAATACTGCAAAGAGGAAAGGATACCAACCCCAGTGGAAAGATGAGTCTTGTCATCTGCCTAGATGTGCATCCAGGCTCTCCTTGGACTTGCTAACTCCTAGCAACCCAGAGACCTGGAACTCCAGTCCTGGGAGGGAGGTCCCGGTCCACCGAGGGTGGTGACAGCGCCCTCCTGTGCCCGTCTGCAGATGCCCAGCCTTGCCCAGTCTGACAGGGATGAATTAACACCCTCCCTCCAATGTACGAAAGCTGCCTGGGACAGAGGGCCTCTTCATATGAACCACAACTGTTCCCTTATTATGTATTTTTTATTAGTGTTGACGTTGACATTGTAAGACTGTTTGAGGAATAAAATGTCGTTTGTTACTGGGCTGCTGTTTCATGCAACACAAATCCTCACGTACACGTGGTACGCATGTGACTGACACACATCGCATGTTACGGGTGTATGGTGTGGTCAGTCTGAGCCACTCTCAAGGGGACTTTGGGGTGAGATTAACAGGAGCAATTCCAGTCCTTCCAGAATAACACGGTACCTTTACAAGTTAAGGGAACTTAAGGACATTCTGTTCACTCTCATTCTGTGGAAATAGTTACCAGCGTTTGGGAAATTTTTTTCCCCTTGATTTTAGACAAACTTGAGTTATATTCAATTCTTCATTTTTGGTAGAAATTATCATTACTTCAGGAGTCCACAAAAATACCATGACACTTTGAAACAAAAGCGTAGACTCAGAAAAGATATTTTCCCAACGCTAACATCAACAGCAGCAGAGAATCCTTTATCATTCTGTTAGTACGGGGAGAACAGAGAAGGTTGTATTTCATTAAAGATCTCAGGAACATGTCTTGTGTGTGTGGTATCAGAGATTGAACCCCGAGCCTTGTGCTTGCTGAATGATAGCCTCATCCCTTTTTATTTTGAGAAAGGGTCTCAATAAGTTGCCCAAGATGGCCTTGAACTTGGTGATCTTCCTGCCTCAGCCTCCCATTTGAAGCTGGTGCTGTTCCCAGGACCAATCAGATGGGCCTTTTTTTTTTTTTTTTTTTTTTTTTTTTTTTGGTTTTTCTCCGGTACTGGGCAGATGGGCCTTTTAATCGTTCATTTGCATATGGGCACAACCAATCGAAAGACACTTTGGGCCTTTCATTTACATGTGACAGGAAGCCAAGCAAGCTTTTTGGAAGGTGGTTTCACCTGGCAGCACCAGTGAGTGCCTGAGAGAACACGGGCCCTATGCTTCATATGCATGAGATCATCCAGGGATTTTAGGGTGAAAGACCCATTTCTTGCATCACAAGCTGTGTAAGCCTTCCCCCGCTGGCTCTCACTCCGTACAGCACGCTTCTTCCCTACCTTGTCTGTGTCTTGTCCAATTCTGCTTGGGGCACGAGGGCCCCGGGGTCCCTGGGGACCCCACCCTGCGCACCACCTTCCCAGCGGGGCCACACACAGCCCTGAACCAGAGCGCCGTCCTGCTGCCTCGGCAGGGGGAGCCCTAGCTGCCCAGTTACAGCTTTTCCTGTGCACTTGTGCTTTCCATTTCTGCCATCAGTAAAGGCAAGGCCCCACGCTGGCTGTCAGCCCTTTTTACTTTTTGAGGCAAGGTCTAGCTAACCCTGTCAGCTGCCCAGGCAGTGCAGTGGGCCTTGAGTGCAAAGGGAGAGGGGCCGCGTGCTCATTGGCCACGGCGGAGCAGGGCTGCCACCAAGGTCCCCGCCCTTGCAGAGGGAAAGCCCAGGAAGGAACCGAGGCAGGAGTCTGGTGTCAGCACCGGTGAGTTGGGTCCACCTCCTCCAGGGATCCTGGAAATGCCTGGGCCGTGGGGCCTCCACTGAGGGGCTGCTGGGGCCAGCCAGACCGGCCTGGACACTGCAGGAACACAAGTGCAGTCTCCGGGCAGCAACTGTGGCCCCGCACATCGGCTGAGCCCCGAATTCCCCTGGCAGCACCCTCAGGGGTTCCCCATCCTCTGTCATCACGGGATGGGACCCTGGCTTTTAGCACCCACTGGGAGGTCGGTTGTGACCGGTGCTCGGGCCGCTGGAGACCCAGCCGGTCTGTCTGGGGCGGGGGTGGGGAGTGGCCGAGTGTCTTAAGTTGTCCAGGGCCCAGAGGACCAAGCAGTCTTCCTGCTCCTGTGAGGCCCTTTTTGGGGACTTCCTGCTCTCAATTCCACTCCTCCTCCACCCCGCGTCTCTGCCTCAGGTGCTTAGCCTCACCCTGCTACCCAGGCTGGGTTTGCTTAGCTTTGTCTGCGTCTCTAAGTCCTGAGGACAAAAGACAAGATGAGAACACCTCAGGCAGGGACATCAGTTCCTGTCCAAGTGCTGAATGTTCTCTCCTCCCTTGGGACCTGACAAATCCAGCAGAATCCAGCCCTCTCAATCCTATGATGAGGCCACCTCTTGGCTTGTAGTTCTGGTTTTTGAGACAGAGCCTTGGTATGTTGCCCAGGTCAGATTCAAACTCCTGGGCACACATGAACCTCCTGCCTCAGCCTCCCAAGAAGGTGGACTACAGATGCTCAATGCTGTGCCAGGCCCCAACTCACAGAACACAGCAAACCCTGGGAGGCGGGGTGTGATTCGGGAGAGGCGCTTTTACCAGGAGTGCACAAAGCCCTCATTTGAACCCATGCTGCTAAATAGTTAAAACTAAGCAAACAAGCCAGGGGCTATAGCACAGGCCTGTAATCTCAACACTCTGAGAGGCTGACAAGAGGATTGCCTTGGGCTACACACTGAGACCCGTCTTAACAAACCAAAACAAGGCCATGCATGGCGGTCTGTGCCTGGAATCCCAGCACTCGGGACACTGAGGCAGGAGGATTTCTGAGAGTTCATTGCCAGCCTGGCCTACATAGTGAGTTCAGGACCAACCTGAACTACATTGTGAGACCCCGTCTCAAAAAAGATAAAAATAAAAACCAAAACCGAAACAAAACCCCCCAAACAACCCTCCCGAAAGAATAAAAGGCAAAATACAAGCTTTTCAACAAACAGCGATGACAAAAATTGTACTTTAAAGAATGAATATAAATGTGCAAAGAATGAAACTGACCCATAGTTTACACCATACACAAAAGTCAACCCAAAATGGATTAAACCCAGGCACAGTGGCACATGCCTGTGATCCTAGCACTCAAGAGACTAAGGCAGGAAGATCCCTGTGAGGTCAAGTCTGCCTGGGTCACACAGAGTACAGAACCAGCACGAGCTACACAGCAGGACTGACTCAAAAAAATAAAACCACCACCACCCTGATTTCATTGGAAATAGAGGACTCCTCCTAGCACAGCGGTGTCACGTGAACGCTGGCACAGTGACCAGACACTTCCTAATAACCCACGGTCACGGGTGCGCATGCCAACTTTAGTGTGCGAGCTGCTGAAGCGAGCGCTGGGTGCACCTTCCAGGTGTCAATGCGTTTCACGCATACAGTCGGGTTAATACAGAAATGCATTGTTCTGCTTCATTATGTAATATTCCCATGCTGACAACAGCAGGAAAATCACACCAGAAAAGCCTGCGCCCTGCCTCTGTGGACGCCATCTACCCGCTGCTGCGCACGGCCACACTCTGGTTCCGTGGCACACCTGAAGTTAATCATGCAGATTCTTTCAGGAAACAGATTTAAGTGATCTGGCATTTCACACTGCTAAGTGTGTTGCACAAATTGCCCCGTACTGCTTCATTAACAGATACTTTAAAAAATGAAAACCAAGCCAGGAACGGTGGCACACAGCCGTAATTCGGCTACTCAGGGAGCTGAGGCAAGAGGATCCCAAGTGTGAGGCCAGCCTGGGCAACCTGGCAAACTTTGTCTCAAGATAAAATAAAAAGAGCTGAGGGGGTGCTGGGGATTTAGCTCAGCGGCACAGCACCTGCCTGGCAAGTGCAAGGTGATGAGTTTGATTCCCGGTACCGGAAAAAAAAAAAAGAAAACAGAGCTGAGGATGTAGCATGTGGTAGAGCAAATGCCTAGGAAGTACAAGGCCCTAAATTCAATTTCCAGGACTGCTAGAGAAAATTGGTTACTTTTACTAGAACATCTGCGTGGCATGGGAGAGCTGTACAAGACACTGTTAGCACATTAATGAAGTACTTTTTTTTTTTTTTTTTTGGTACCAGAAATTGAACTCAGGACCTTGCACTTGCCAGGCAGGCACTGTGCCACTGAGCTGTATCTCCATCCTCCAAAATTCTAGACATTTATTGTACGATATTTTGTAATGTCAACTGGATTTTTTTTTCTTTTTTGTCCTTTTCAGACGGGGTCTTGCTTTGCAGTTCAGGCTGGCTTTGAGCTCACTTTGTAGCCCAGGTTGGTCTCAAACTCGCATCGATCCTCCTGCCTCAGCCTCCTGAGTGCTGGAATTACACACGTGCACCACCACGCCTGGCTCTAATGAAGTACCTCTAGGCAGGCATGGTAGTGCACCCCCATAATCCCAGCACTCTGGGAGGCTGAGGCAATAAAATCACCTGTTCAAGGCCAGCCTGAGCTATTTAGCAAGACCTTGTTTCAAAATAAAAAGGCTGAGGATCAGTAATAAAGTACCCTATATTCCATCCTTAGTACAAGAAAAAAAAAAAAAAGAATGAAAAAATTTTTGAAACAAAGTATGTAAGGGGCTGGGGATTTAGCTCAGCAGCAAAGCGCCTGCCTGGCAAGCGCAAGGTCGTGAGTTCGGTTTCCGGTACCGGAGAAAAACCAAAAAAAAAAAACTAAGTATATAAAAATTAGAATGTAATTGCTGAAATGAAATTATAGTAAGTCCTGAAACAAACAAAAAAAAGTCACCATATAGACAATAGGGTAAAACAATCATGGAAAAGATGGTGTTTTTTTGAGGCAGGGTCTCACTATGCAGCGTAGGCTGGCCTTAAACCCTCTCAGGAGATCCTCCTAAGTGCTGGAATCACAGGCTGCACCACCATGCCGGGCAGTAAATGTGTTTATAAACATAACACAGTCCAAACAGTGTAATCACAGATTTCTAGTTTTATTCTCATGGTGAAGTGTTAAGTCATTAAGAATCTGAGAAACTTCTGGAAACGCAAATGTAATGCCTCAGGTCAGAAAAAAAGAAATGGACTGCCTTGGAGAAACTTAGCTACAGGGGCAGATGCACAGGATTTGAACTCAACTACTTTGGCAGGTGGCAGAAGGCGCGGTAGCCACAGTCTCTGTGGCAAAGGAACTCCTGCCATGCATGGCCCACCACAGGCCTGGCGTCTGGGCCCGTGCAGACTGCAGCCCACGGAGGCCTCCGAGCTGCCTCCCAGGCACCCGGGCTTTGGCCCAGCTCCCGTCACTGCTGGGAGCCAGCGCGGTGGGGACTCAGACCACGGGGCGTGTTCCTGCACAGTATTTTTATGGCCAATGTGAACACACAGTCCAGGGAAGATGGGTAAGGAAAGATCTCGTATTTATTTCCCCGTTAATACCCGGCTTTAGACGCAAACTGTGCTTCAGCACCTTGGCCAGCTCCCCAGTGCCCGCACATCCCTCAGTCAGGCACATCCGGGGCAAAAGGCGACAGGACACTCACCCTGGCAACGCCAGAGCTCCCTGAGGGACAGCAGGGCCCACCGCACACGCCCACAGAGCTCCTCAACCGGCAAGCAATCGGGATGGACGCACTTCGTCTTCGTGTCAATACAGCTTTAGAGTGGGAAGGAAGTACTCCTCGAGTTTGTTAGATCTGGTCAAGAGACAGCTTTGAATGTTTTCTTCACTACGTGTACAACTTTTTTACCCCATCTTCGTGCCTTCACAACTGGTTCGGCACTAAGACCTCTAGCGCGCTTCAGAAAAGCTTCGTTCATCCAGTAGATTTTTAGATTGTAAATCTCTACTTGAATTCTTCTCAAGACACTGAATTATAACAAGTCCAAAAAATATATGAGCATTCGCCAACACCACTGACACCTGCAAATTACTGTAAATAACCCCACACAGGAGCATAATTCAAGCATAGAACTTTGGGGGAAGGGACACAAAATAAATACTACAGTATTTCATCTCTACTTAATGCCACCTAGGGTTAGATGAAAAGATTAGTATTATAACAAGAAGACTCAACTACGGTAAGGCCTGTTTTCTACAGACTTAGAACAATTTCCCAAAACAAAGAGAAACAAGAGCCCATGTCGACACAACTTTCCTTTAGTGTTCTACAATTGCGAGGATGAGGTATCATCTGTAAGCAATTAATACAGTATAAATAGGAATAAGCTCCCCGTAAATGACAGCCTGGTGAGACTCTTCTGTCCCTGAAGAAGTCTGGGGAGGGGAGGACAGGAGAGGGCAGAGAGGGCAAAAGCACCCTGTACACGCCCATCTGTTACCGTCACGGCGTAGCAATCCACTGCTGTGAGAGGCACGTCCTTCCAAGTATGCTGGCCTAGAACACAGTTCATGGATCAGAGATGGGTGGCTTAAGTATCACTAATGCCTTGTCTGTATCGATATTCGGGTATACTTATAATCATATATGCATCTTAAAAACCATCCACAGAACTTTTAGAACACCTTTACCTCATTCTGGAAAAGTTAACAGTTAAGATGAACTACACACTACCAAACTTTCTAATGTCTCTAAGCTCGGGGAAAACCAAAGGATAACTTTACTACCACTTTAGTAAATGGCTTGTGCAAAATCTTGATTTCAATTCATCTTTTTTACAGATAGGTTTATTTGATGAGGATTGTGATCCAATGATTGTTTAGCAGCAATTTTACCAAACTGTAAATTCTTTTATTAACAGGCATTATAAACAGATAATACTAATCTTATTTAAAAACCATGAGTGCCACACCAGTGAATATACAGCTCAAGAATAACTTAAGTATTTCCCATTTAAAAGGTAACACACAGCATACAAACCCTACCCTAAACAAAGAAGCTGGACCATGGATACATGATTGATGTGTCTAAAATGATGTATGTACAGAACATAATTAAAGTTAATTACGTGAGCAGTACATTTCTCCCATTCCCTTCATGCTTCACTCTCCCCAGAAACTGAATTCTGAACTTCCTCTTCTAAAATTGGTACAATCAAGTTATCCTTGGACATCAAATTATATTTCATCACAAATTTAGTAAACCGATGACACAAAAATGTTTCATTCTGTAGAAAGAAAGAAAACGTATTACTTTATTATCCAAAATCTCACAAAAGCAGGACTCATAAGATAGGTTTTTGCTTTGTTTTGTTTTTTGGTCTTTTTGAGACAGGGTCTCACTATGTAGTTCAGGCTGGCCTTGAGCTCACTTTGTAGCCCAGGCTGGTCTCAAACTCGCAATGATCCTCCTGCCTCAGCCTCCCGAGTGCTGGGATTACAGGTGTGCGCCACCACGCCCGGCTGGTTTTGTCATTCTGATAGGAAGCATCAGGATACTTAGTGAAACATACTTACTTCATATTCATCAAATATCTGCCGGTGATGAAAATAAGCATGTGAAAATATTCTGTAAATCCTACGACATACGGATCCTAGTTTTGCTACAGATGATTCTTTTATGCTAACCCTAAAAATAGAAAAAAAATCGGATTCATACAGCCGGACAGAATTGTAGGAACCATACAGTTCAATCCTCCCAGGAGACAAGCGTAGATATCAGCACAGAGAGAAAGTGAGTGACTGGTTCCAAATCTGCAGTCTGCTCCTCACATCCCACCCTATACCCCAGCTGGCGCCCTCTCCTCCACACAAGCCTCAAGAATTCAGTAGTGCAGGGCTCTGGGGCCCTGCTAAGGTTCAATGCAGATAAAGTGAACCTCCGACAACTCAAAACTTATTAAAACACACGTTTTAACACTAATACTATACTAGTGACGATTACAATTGCTAACAGGAATTTTTATTCTAAAGAACTGGATTAGGCCGGGCATGGTGGCACACGCCTATAATCCCAGCACTCGGAAGGCTGAGACAAGAGGATCATTTTGGGTCTGAGACCAGCCTGGGCTACAAAGTGAGTTCAAGGCCAGCCTGAACTGCATAGGGAGACCCCGTCTCAAAAAGACAAAAAAGAATTGGATTTTCTTTGGTTTTTGAGAAATCAAAATATCTGCATAGCTATGATAGTCTTTTTAAAAGTACATACATGTATGATATGGAAGCAAAATCAGTACTTTTTTAAACATTTTATATAAGCTTACTGGAATAATCTCACTGGGGGAAAGAATCTCCAAATCCATCCTTCGGTTACAAGTGTCTTAACAGGTCTGGCGTTGTGGCATATACCTGTAATCCTAGCACTCAGGAGGCTGAGGCAGGAGGATTGCCATGAGTTCGAGGCCAGTGTGGGCTACATAAGTGAACTCAAGACCAGCCTGGATTACACAGCGAGACCCCGTCTCAAACTCCCCACAAAACAAGTGTCTTAACAGAATTAAAGAGCAGTAACAAATCTCACCAAAAATACAGTATGTGCACAACTTCTTCCCAGATCTTAAAAATCTGTAGATGAGAATAAGGAATCTTGACCCCCCAAAAAAGGAACCTTGTAAGGTGTGGTGGCACACACATGTATTCCAGGGTTCAGAGGCTGAGGCAGGAGGATCTCTGGGAGTTTGAGTCCAGCCTCGTCTACACAGTGAGTCCAAAGCCACACTGGACTACACAGCAAGGCTCTATCTCAAACAAACAAACACAAAACAAAGGAATCCTCCAAAGACAAGCAGTTCCGCTCAGGAGTCTGCTTTTCCAGAAGCCTGGGAGAGGGAGGCAGAAGCAGAGGAACCCAGCACACAACTAGCTGTGGCCCTGCGGGTCACACAGCAGCAGCAGCGGCCTCCAAGAAGTGTTCTAACCCTATCCTGCTGCTTAGCCGTAAACTTATCACACAAATCCAGTCACTGGAACAAGTCAAGTATTTCACAGCTTCAAACAAACAAACAAATAAACACAATTAATTTTGGGCTGAAGATACCCATTTTTAAATTAAGCCCAGAAAATGTACCAGCATGTTTAGGAGCTGCTTACCTGCTGGGAAAGTATTTGTTGCTGTTGAGCAGGCAGGCAGCGCCGTCCAGTGTGTGTCTGGTGTAGTCGATGGCGGGGCACTAGGAGGGAGGACACCGCGTGTCAGCCGAGGCTGTCTGGTAGACGGCACACGGTGCCGTGCAGGTCCGAGGCCCCAGGGACCCGTGCCTACAGGACAGCTCCGCACAACTCGGTGACGACAAAATACAGTGCTGCATCAGGAAGCAGAGCTTCACGACATTAAAACCTCTAGAAGCTACATTAGCCAGCCGCCCCGTTTCATTCCCATCTCGAAACCCGGGAGAAAACGACCTTCAGAACAGGAAAAGCCCTCCTTATCCGGCCCAATCTCCTGACCACACAGAAGCTGCTTTGCGCAGCAAGAGCGACTCCCTCGGGATGTCTGTCAGGCCCCATGGCTCCCTGCTGGCACAGTGGCCTGAGAGGTGAGAAGACACCTTTCGGGACTGCTGGGTTTGCACTTCTGCAGCAACCCCGTCCACATCACAGTGCGGGAGAGCCCACCCCCCACTCCTGACGCACTCCCAGAGCTGGGCCCATGACACTGCAGTGCCAACTCTCCACTAGCCCTAACGCTACCGGCTGGCCCATCCTTCGTGACACTGATGAGGAACGCAGATGTGAGAACAACTCTACTGATAACAGGGTCAAGCACCACATCTCCAGTGTAAGCGAGATTTACCAGCTGCTAGCAAAATGAAATGGGCCTATGTGACTCAAGTTTCCCAATAGCGCTCGCCATCTGCTAGACTAAGTCACAGTGAACCAAGGAAGCTGCTCAGTGGATCTCCAGATAAAGACCTCTACCCACCCGTAAATCTAGGAATACACACACAGTGTCAGTGCCTGAAGGAAGCTGCTCTGCCAGTAAGCACCACTTGCTCACACAGGTACCCCATACTGCTTACTTTGCAGAATTTATTCTCTTTATTACCCCAGGCCCTTCCCTGCCTGGAATTTTATTCTTTTTCAAAAGAAAGAATATCAAATACTGATTTTGCAACTAAGGCCACTTGTCTTCAAATCTTAAAGGCCTGTCAGTATAATGATATCTAAAGATCTATCCTGCAAGATAACTGGCCCTGCCTGATATCTTTAATTAGTGTCAAGTAAAAAGAAATTACTACAGACTTCAAAAGAATGCACCCCATAGGAAATGCAACACACAGTTTAAATAAACCAATCAGAGCTGGGCGTGGTGGTGCATACCTGTAATCCTAGCACTCAGGAGGCTGAGGCAGGAGGATCATTGCGAGTTCGAGGCCAACCTGGGATACAAAGTGAGCTCAAGGCCAGCCTGAACTGCACAGTGAGACCCTGTCTCAAAAAGACAAAAATAGCCAGGCATGGTGGCACACGCCTGTAATCCCAGCACTTGGGAAGCTGAGGCAGGAGGATCATTGTGAGTTTAAGACCAGCGTGGGCTACAAAGTGAGCTCAAGGCCAGCCTGACTTGCAGTCTGAGATCCTGTCTCAAAAAGACAAAAACAAAAAAGAAAGAAATAAATAAACAAACCATAAAGAGCCTTGTGAAACAACTAAGGAAACGTGACTACATACTGAGTATTAGATGACATAAAGTATAAAGGTTTTAAAAATACAATACACAACTGCTACTCTACTTAGGGAATCCAAGGCAGAAGGATTGAGCGTTCAAGGCCAGCCAGGGCAACTCAGCAAGGCCATATCTCAAAACTAAAACTAAAAACAACAAAACTTAAAAGGGCTGGGGAAATAGTCCTTTAGCTGAGGAGGGATAGGGAGAGCTTAGCATTCCTTGACTCTTAACCCCTAGCTGAAAAAAAGAAAAAACGAAAAGCAAACTAAACCACAAACTGCTACTGCCAACTAAATGAAAAAAACAGTGCAAACATTAATAATCTAAAAAGTAACATTCCTGCTCACAGACTAGGCATTAATGAGTAAGCAACAGTTCTTGCAATTGAAACAAATCAAGATTTAACAGACTCTAAACAGGTGCACCCGAACCATTACTCAGTGGGTATCAGCACAACAGGAGTGATGTCATTTTGTGACAGCTAGTAAATCACGAAGTGAGTTCTAGTGCATGCAACTCCCAAATTAGGAAAAATTACATTAATCATCAGACATTTTTAACTTGGAGTGATGGCACACGAATGTAACCCCAGCACTTGAGAGGCTGAGGCAGGAGGATTGCCTTGAGCTCCAGGCCAGCCTGAATCGCACAATAGAGACCCTGTCTCCAAAAAAAAGGTAAGAAATCCTTAAACAGAACTGTGAAAAGAACATTCAACCAAATGGTAAAATAAAAAGTGAATTAAAAACTCTACTAAAGCCAGGCATGGTGGCACACATCTATAATCCCAGCACTTAGGAAGCTGAGGCAGAAGGATTGCTGTGAGTTTAAAGCCAGCATGGGCTACAAAGTGAGTTCAAAGCCAGCCTGAAATGCATAGTGAAACCCTGTCTCAAAAAGAGCAAAAGAAAAAAAAACCTCTAGTAAAATGTGCTGGGCCTGGTGGCACACACCTGTATTCCCACCACTCAGGAGGCTGAGGCAGGAGGAGCTCTGTGAGTTCAAGGTCAACCTGAGCTACAAAGTAAGACCCTCTCAAAAAACAAAAACAAACTCTAAAACCAATGTTCTGGAGAGACTGAGTTATGACAGTTCTAACCATCATTCTAGTCCATGAATCCTCACCTCTTTTGGAGTTTTATGAGCAGCACAAAGAAAAATCCACTGTTCAGTTGCTGTCATCTGAGTGCAAGTATCTGGATGGCATTCACTCTGTTAAAAATAATTGCATTTCTTAGTATGTAAGATAGTAATGGAGAAGTTCATCATTAAGTTACTACATTTCCTGTAAATTACAAGGAAATGATCAGATAATATGGGTAAGTCTCTAAAAGCACAGCAAGTTCCAGAAATGGAGAGAAAAATATCACATCTTCCATGATAGCTTAGACAAAGTATTACCTGAAGTTTAACAGCAAGTCCATTTAGCTCAAGGCAGAACTGCCTGAAATGCAAACACATAAATGAAAAGTCAGCATTATTCAGCACAGTTTGCTTTGAGGTAGTGTCTCACTGTGGGGCCAGCCCAGCCCAGACGCACCTACAGCTGTCCAGGCCTCAGCCTTCAGATAGCTGAGACACAGGCATACCCAGCTCACGGCTACTTTTTTGTCAAAAGACTTACAGGTTAAAATACAAGAAACAATAACCCAAAGCGTATTCCACGCCGAAGTCCAGGAAGGTGATCACTTTCTTACATAAGAAATTGGTCTAAATTTTCTTGGAAATACTCACCAAGATGTTTAGGAAGTATGTATTTTTTGGCTAAGTCATTCGTCTAAGAACCCACTGCATGAAATAATCAGAACTGAACATAGATGTGTTACAAACACGTTCACACGAACTATATGAGAACATTTTTGAGATATGCTGATTAAATGGAGGGTAGTAAAATGCTGGTACATACATAAACATACAAAGGATAAACACCTATAGGTAGTAGGATTCCAGCTATATAAACAGACATGAGGAAAGACTAGACTTTCATCAAATGTTTTACACTTACATGTATTTTGAGAGTTTTGTTCTAACTACCAAACAAAACACCCCTTAAAAGCGTCAGGGCTCCGTGAGTAGCTCAGTAGTAGAATGCTTGCTTGCCTAGCCTGCATGAGGCCATGGGTTCAAGCCCCAGCATCACAAAAATTTTTAAAAATAAAAAAACTCCAAACATTACCAAATATATAATGTAGAGAATCTATAATCCTTCATAATTCCACCACCTTCTACCAAAACAAAGATAACTACAATGTACATGCCAATTTTTTTATGTACACATTAAAATTTGTAGGGATAAAAATCACATACCTTTCTAACGCACTTTTGCTACTTAATAGATCTTGGCAATTTTTTCAAGATATACTTTCCTTCTAAAACTGACAGCCAGGCGCGGTGGTGCAAGCCTATAATCCCAGAACTCAGGATGAGGCTGGAGAGTTACCACGAGCTCAAGGCCAGCCTGGACTACATATTGAGACCCTGCCTCAAAAAAAAAACTAAAAAGTAAACTAATTTTTAAAAAAACTGACAAATTGGGAATTATGAGGCCTATACAACAACTAAAAGAGTAAATGCTCGATCAATTTTTTTTAGTGACTGGAGAAAGGGGGAAATGCTAAGACACTGAAGCCATCAGTTTTACCAGACATCTGAAATGAGAAGACAATCCTCCGTGTCATAAAAGTAACTGGTTTTACTACTGTCACACCGTGGAGCCAGCCAACTATGGACTAAAAAGATGAGCTACAATGAACCTCTCCTTCTTAAAAAAAAAAAAAAAAGCAATGTGTTCCCTCCAGGAATGTTACCTAGTAAGATTTAATACACTGTAAAAAATAGATAATTACAAGTATTTCCCCAACAAAAAAATGAAAACACTTTGGTCCCCCAAAATGCAAAGCTAAACCCTACATAATTAAAAGATGAAAGAAAGGTCCAAATGGGGGAAGAAATATATATGAAACTAATTTGGTAAAAGAAAACCATACTTACTTATTTGCATATTTATTTTAGGCACATTGTAGTTGCTTGTAACTATATTTCCTTTCTAAATGTTTAATGATGCTACTATTAGAACACAAAAATAGGGGCTGGGGATTTAGCTCAGTGGCAAAAGCGCCTGCCTCGAAAGCGCAAGGTCGTGAGTTCGGTTCCCGGTACCGGAGAAAAACCAAAACCAAAAAAAAAAAAAAAAAAAAAAAGAACACAAAAATAACGCTATTTCTGATTTACCCATCCCCCTGTACTGCTCACTATCAAAAGGTTTCACGGTTCATGTTTCTGAGACTTTTCCACTATGTGGTAATAAAGCCTCATGGTGTCTACAGGCAAGAACATGACAGCAGCTGAACTGACCTTGGGAAAGACCAGTCTGCACAGAACACAAACCTGACAGCTCCAGTTACCCCAGCCCAGGGCTAACCACACAGCTATGCAGGTGAGGAGACCAACCAGGGCTGAAATTCAGGCTCACATGGCAGCAACAAGCACACGTGCTAGAGTAGGACTGTGTCCCCTCAAAGCAGGGGCACCCCCCGGACCCACAGGGCTCAGTGTGGGTGGGCACGAGACCTGTGGGAAGATACCATCCTACTCTAGTCACAGTCACTGCCTGGCATTCACCCCACCAGCACACAGATGGCTTCCACATGGCAGCGGCAGCACGCACAAGGGAAGACTCAAAGACTACCCTGTAAACTTTTTGGTCCACAAGACAAAGACAAAAGAATGCACATGTGCTATTAATACGTGAATCGAAAACCTCCCAAAAGTGGTCAACAGAGAAAATAACAAAAATAAAAATAGCAGCAGGACAAATAGAACAAAGTTTCTATAAAATTTTGTAAGTTCTATATAAGGTACACCACAGGTTAAATACGGAAGAAAAGGTTTCCTTAGGTTTGAAACAAAAACCTATACACTAACATCAGACATCACTTGTCAGGAAATATATTCACAGTGAAAAACACAAGCTCAGTGGAGGCCGGGAAAAGAGCAGGTGCGAGCCCCTAGGTTCAATCCCTGCCAAAAAAAAAAAGCTTAAATTCATGAGCAGCCTGGGCAATATAGCAAGACTCCATCTTAAAAAAAAAAGTAGGGGAATGGCACACACTTTAATCCTAGCTATGAGGCAGGGCAGGCTGAGGCAGGAGGAGCACATGCACATATTCATTCTGGGCTGGCCAGGACAACTTAGTGAGATCCTGTCTTAAAATAAAAAATAGAAGAGGAGACATAACTCAGCAGTAGAGGAATCTTGGTTCAATCTCCAGTACTGTAAAACAAACAAGCAAATAATAAAAACCACACTGGTTTGCAACATCAACACAAAAGGTAACTATCTGAGCCTGATTAAAATAAAGGAAAAGATCCAGTATGATAAGAAAATGTTCCATAAGGTTATAAAAAAATGGGAAAATATCTATAAACTCATACTTTTAATAGATCTGGCTGTGGATGGTGGCACAAGTTTACAGTCCCAGATACTTAGAAGGCTGAGGTAGAAGGACTGCTTGAACCCAGAGGAGTTGAAGGTCAAAGAGCAACACAGTAAGACCCTGTCTCAAAAACGGAACAAACTGCAGCTGTACAAATCACGAGGCCCTAGGTCTGACCCCCAAAATCCTCGCCCCCCACCACACACACACCCAATACTCCACCCTTCTAAGAGACTGGCAAAGTGTATCAAGTCTCAGCGCCCTAAAGCAACTGTTCCAAGACCTGACGTCCTCGTACTATCTGAACCAGCACTCGGTGAGGAAGTTTAAAGCAAGAAAAAAGTGCCTTAGGGGGAGGTGGAGGAGCTCATCACCACAAGTGCAGCTTTGTTTATTCAGGCAGTCACACTTCTGCCAGGCACCTACAGCTCTCCTCAGAAGGAAGGAGTCCTTGAGCACACACTGCCTCTCCATGCTGACTCTGCATCCCAGCTCAGCACCCTGGGAAGCGGCAGTGACGCAGAGAAACACCTGCTAACCTCAGGAGCGCTACTTGTGAAGGTAACTCTACCCTCTCACTGGTCAGCAATTGCCCATTCAAAGATACAATGGAAGGCAGAAAAGCTCCCTACTCTACCTTTGCAATTAATCTCTATGTACTAAAAGGAGGCTTGGAAGCTTCCAGCAGTTCCTCAGTAATCCTTCATACACCAGGCATAGAGTAAGAAGACCTAAAGGCGACCTTACATAAAGAAAGCAAGTCTCTCACAGTGGAAAAATGAACTTAACACATTTGTAGTTAAACGAACCAATGAAGGGAAATCATTTGAAAATTCACAAATGTACCAACATGCATAGGCAGCTCTGAAACCACTTTGCAAAAAAAGAGGATTTTGCAGTGTCACAAAGTAAAAACCACAATGAGCAAGAGGAGACAAAATCAAAGCATCAGACTCTGGTTTATGATCTGCACCTCCACAGTTCCCATTCACCACTATCACGAGCAGGCACCCGGCTAGCAGGCTGTCCTTACCGTGTCCACGTGTCACAAGGGCCTACCTTAGGTGCTCATACTTCCACACACCTTCGTCTTGGCCTTCAGGCGGCTCAAGGATTCTGTCGATATTAGAGCAATCCGCCCTTATGTTCTGTTGGATATACTATCAACAAAGAGGTTCTTAAGGTTAAAACATTTTGCTACAGAATACAGGGCATATTAGAATACACAACTTTTGAACATATAACTGCTTCCTATGGTTCAACTTTTGGGTTACACACTAAGAAGAAAACCAAATTTAGAAATGTAAGTATCTCAGAAAAAAGGAAGTAATCCTGACTTATTCTCCACTTCAGCATCACTGGAGATAGAGTATTTACCAGGATTGGAACTGGGATAAAACTTGCAAACCATCATAAAATCCCAGCACTCTGGGAGGCTGAAGCAGGAGGGTCATAAATTCAAGCCCTGACCAGATGATTTGGCAACTTAGCAAGACCTTATCTCAACATTTTTTTTACAAAGGTTACGGGCATAGCTCAGTGTGAAGGCCCTGAGTTCAATCCCCAGTACCAGAAAATAAATACATACATAAATAAAAGCAAACCATAATCTTCAAGAGCCTAAGATATAGACAATGTAAATGTAACTGTACACACTACACAATGACATTTGCATGAAATGCCAGGAACAAGAAACCTACAGAAATGGACAACAGACTAGGAGATGCTTAGGGCTGAGGAGAGAGGAAGACAGGAAAATGCTACCAAGGACATAATTCAGGTGGATGAAAGTTCTAAATAAGAGTGTAGTGATGGTTTTACAACTGAGTAAAAAACCATTGAGTTTTACATTTCTAAATGGTTATTTTTATCATACACTAATCATACCCAATAAAAGTTGTTTTTAAAAATGACAAGCAAAAAAACTAAGTTGAAAAAGGCAGCAAGGGATGGGTAGAGATAAGCAGAAAGCACTTGCCTCACATCCGTGAGGCACTGGGTTCAATTGTCAGCAGAGGTCATGGGAGTGGGGTCACTTTTGACCAAAAGCAATTAACATAAAACTTTAAATTTCATATCTCTTTACTGTTTCATCTATTCTACAACTCCGACTTCCTGAAATCTGGATAGGTTAGAGATTTAAAGTCCTGCTTATAAAAGGTTAACTATTAAGTCTTTCTTCAGTGTGTATTTTCCCAATTTTGGACCACTGTCCTTCAATATGATTACTCACTTAACAAATACTTTGGCGGGAACTGGAGTACTGGGGATTGAGCCCAGGGGTTCCAGCACGCTAGACAAGCTATCACTGAGATATAGCCTTTTCTATTTTTCTGAAGCAAGGTCTCACTAAATTGCCCAGGCTGGCCTTGAACTTATGATCCTCCTGCCTCACCCTCCCAAGTAGCTGGAATCAGAAGTGTGTGCTACTGCGGGCCTACAGTAGCTTGGACAGACTTGACATAGCTTGTAGTCCCAGTTAGCTGGGAGGCTGAAGCAGGACTGCTTGAGCCCAAGTGCTCAAAGCCAACTTGGGCAACACAAGGAGACACCATCCCAAAATAAATAATTAATGCATGTCAAAGGCTGGAGGTGTAGTTTAGAGCATGCGCTTAGTGAGTCTCCCCAGCACTGCGGAAGGGAGGGGAAGGAGCGGGGAGGGTGAGAAACACTGAGTTAGCTTCTAGTGGCCAAAGCCAGGTCTGACCAGTCTGGGCAAAGTAAATCAAAACCCTTGCAGAAAAGTCATCATTCCAGATGCCCTGAAGAGCACACCCCATCAACATACACACTTTGTGTTTTTGTGTGCCAGTTAAAAAGACGTTTAAACATCTGGGAGGTAGTGAAAGTGGGCCTCACACATGCTGGGCAACCGCTCTACCGCACAACTACATCTCCAGTTCCTAGCATACCTGAATTTGTCATCTTTTTATTAACTCTTTAAGCCAATCTTCCAAGTAACTATGAGTACTATTATTTGGTGGTTTTTTTATTTTTTATTTTTTGTCTTTTTGAGACAAGGTCTCGATATGCAGTTCAGGCTGGCCTTGAGCTCACTTTGTAGCCCAGGCTGGTCTCGAACTTCCAACAATCCCCCTGCCTCAGCTTCAGAAGTGCTGAGATTACAGGCATGCGCCACCACTCCTGGCTGTTACTTATTTAAAAACTCCAAATTTTACTTGAAATGACAGAGCTACCACTGTTTACCTTTAACTCAACACAGTAAGAACATGGCAGTGCCTGAGAATCATCTCAGGGCTTTGGATTCCCTCCTATTACTGGAGCCCACCTCCTGAGAATCACTGACCCTGGAGTAACCCATGGCTCCAGCAGCCTGAGGGAGACAGCTCAGTTCTCACAGACCAGATGTGATATAAAAGTACGGTGAAGGCTGGAGCTTTTTATGGGTGTGTGTGTGTGTGTGTGTGTGTTACAGTAAAAGACGAATTCCGTTTACGCCCCAGAACACTCCCTCTAACACACTGATCCTACCATTTTTATCACTTTCTGCAGGAGTTCTGGTGTCCTCTTTCCTAGGTGTCTTTAGTTTTTCTTTCATGACTGCCTCGATGTCCTGAATGGATTCAAAACGTCTCCTTTCATGCTCATTTTAACTTTGAAGAACAGCCAGGAGGCAAAGGGTGCTACATTCAGTGGATAAGGTGGACGAGGACCCATGGCCTTGGTTTTACGAGTCTGCCTTTCTGTTGGATGGGGCTTAGGAGCAGCATTCACTGTATTTTTTAATCACACCTTATAAAGACACTCACAAAAGAAGACTTCCTGAACTGCCTCAGAAAGTGGCAAGAACCACCATGGGATTAGTGTGGCTGAAGTGAGTGGCAGTGTCTTGAGGGAGATTAATGGCAGTGTGTCTTTTACTGTAATACATTCTTCTAAAAAATTACACAAACACCATAGATTGGATCAGCCCTTATATACTGGAAGAGGATTTAAAAAACTAATAATGATAATAACAAAAATAGTAACAACTAAAAAATGCAAATCTTTGAAACATGTTATTAGGGGTTTTAGTCACCAAATAACCATGCTATTTCTTCGATTTCATTATCTCCTACTCTAATTTATCTCTCAATTAGTTATGAGTAGCTGGGTGTGGTGGCCCATGCCTGTAATCCCAGCACTTGGGAGGCTGAGGCAGGACTGTTACAAGTTCAAGACCAGCCTGGTCACAAATGCCTACCTGGCAAGCTCAAGGTCCTGAGTTCAATTCCAAGTACCAAAAAAAAAAACAAAAAAAAAAAAAGAAAGATCAAATTGGGTACCGTAATTTGGTAACTAATAACAGATATTAAAATGTACTAGGTCTGGGGCCAGGGATATAGCTCAGCAGTACAATCATCTGCCTGGCAAGCACAAGATCCTGAATTCAATTCCTGGTACCCCCCAAAAAAGTACTAGGTCTGATTATAGTTTAATACACCACAGTAAAACAAATGTAAGTCAGGCATGGTGGCACAAGCCTGTAATCCCAGCACTCAGGAGGCTGAGGCAGGAGGATCGTTTGAGTTTGAGACCAGTCTGGGCTACAAAGTGAGCTCATGGCCAGCCTGAACTGCATAGTGAGACCTTGTCTCAAAAAGACAAAAAATACATACATACATACCTACATACATAAAAACAAGTTTAAATAGGTATTGCATTAACAGTGGAATATGGTTTCTACTAAAAAATATAAGAATGCTTAACTATATTAAGTGGTAAAATGCTTAGGTTGTTGGAATGTTAAAAAAAAAACTATTTTTATTACCTGCTGAACAGCAAGGGTACTGTCCATTTCATCAAAGGATTCATCAGGCCAATTATAGAAATCCTATAAAAATAAATACATTGTTAAAGTACAAAGTTACAAAGTTACAATGCAGTAACATTAACCTCAGTCCTTAATAAAGATCCCAAGTTCATACCAGACAGGAAGAAAACAGCCTTTAAAATATGATTATCAGTGAAATAAATAATTTCAGATGTTTTTAAATGTACATCAAGATTTTAAAGTACATTATTACCATTTTTTCAACCATAAATCCCTCAAAAACGGTTCTTATTAGCCTGTTACTTAACTAGGGAGATAAGTCAGATATGTTTTTGTCTATGATATGTTTTTGTCTTTTAAATATTTCTTAAAAAGTTACACTGAAAAAAAATCTCCAGACATCAAAAAACCAAACTAGTTTTTTTTATCTGAAGAGCTAACATTAATCATCAGTAGCTAATTTATGGCTTCATGAGTATTATTTTAGATAATTACAAATTATTACTCTACTACTAACTAGAGCTTTAAATTTCTAAACAAAAATCAGACCAAGGGGTGTGGCTCACTGGTAGTTCAGTAGGTATGCGTGAGGCTCTGGTTCTATCACAAGCATGGACATGGGGCCAGGCAAGCGCTCTGCGCAGCTACCATAGCTCCAGCCCTAAGGGGGACCTCGCTCTGGCTCTGAGTCCTTTACAGACTCTCCTAAGTGATTAACAGCCGTACTGTATGCTTTTCAGCAGTTTTCCTCTGCATCCTTAACAGCACAACTGTTAACAGAAAACTGTGATACACAGTTGGTCCTCAATAAATGTTTCTGGGGTAAAACTAAGGACGAAAAAAGTAGTGAACCGGTAATCAATATATAAACCTGTCAAGATGGGTAAACCTTCAAAAATGAGCAAACAAGCTGGGTGGGCATGGTGGTGCATACCTGTGATCCCAGCACTTGGCGAGCCTGAGCCAGGAGGATCACTATGAGTTCAACACCAGCCTGAACTACACAGTGAGACCTTATCTCAAAGAAACAAAAACAAATAACCTTGAGCAAACAAAAGCAAGCGAAAGAATACAGAATGCATGCTTAGACAATGCGGCATCTTTATGGCTGGAATGGGATGGGGGAGCAGAAGACAGGAAAACGTGACCCAGAGGGACTCAACTATCTTTGGCAACATCTTAGTTCTAAGCTTAGTGATGGGTACAGTTTTTACAAGTGTCTCAAATACTTCACACTATCTTTTCTGTTTTTCTAGATGCCCTATCTGAAAGAAAATGCAAAACTAACTTCCTTCAGGGAAAGAAGTTAGTTTCAAGAAATTAAACAGTCTTTACAAGTTGTTCCAAGATGCTTTTTCTAGACAGTATCTAAACATTAAAAAGTAGCTTTTAAATTCTTCCTAAATCGCGGGCATGGTGGCACAGGCCTGTAATCCCAACAATCAGGAGGCTGAGGCAGGAGGATCATAGCGAGATTGAGGGCAGCCTGGGCTACAAAGGTCAAGGTCAGCTTGAAATGCATAGCGAGACCCTGTCACAAACAATAAAAATTTTAAAAAATTCTTCCTACATGACTTACACCAAAAGTACTTTGCCCATTCTTTCATTTAAAAAACTAAAGGTTGCAGATTTTTTTTTTTTTTTTGCTACTGACAATCGAACTCAGGACCTTGCACTTGCTAGTAAATTAAATTAAAAATAGTTACTCTTTTAGATTTCTTTTCGAATGCCTGTGATAATGAGATTATGCTGTTTTACTAAATTGCACACATGCAAATTCTATAACACAAACAAGAGGTCAGCTTTCTCAACAGTAAATTAAATTACTATTGTGTTGCTAAGCTATATATCCCCAGCCCCAATTTTGTCTTAAAAATATTAGCATATACATGTATAGTAACATTCAGAAAAGAGGTAAAGTTAATTGAGAATGAAATGCTTTGCCTCATTGTAACTGCAATGTATTTTAGACATCTGAGATGTAAAAAAATCCAGCTTAATGTTCTCATCCAATTAGTCAACATTCATTGAAAACCCAACTATGGGCCTATTATTTTAGTCTAGCTAACTTTTTAAAAATGTTGGAAGGAAAAAAGCACATACAACACCTACTCTATTATAACTATCATTTTGGAACAGATCTGTTTTACTGAAGGAAATTCATGCAGTAAGAGTTTAGGATTGCAGCTAAAGAAGTCATTTTTTTCTTTTACTCTTAATCTTTCGGTCCTTACTTACTTCCCTGATATAACAGTGTGAAAAACGCAAAGGAACTTTACGTAATCCTAACAGCACAGCAAGCAGATGTGTCACCATACGCCTTTAAAGTAAGTTTTCAAAAGTAGCAACTTCGGGCTGGGGTATGGTTCAGTGATAGAGCCCTTCCCCCCCCAAAAAAAGCCCGGAGTTCCGGACCCAGCAGGAAAAAAAAAAAAAAAAGTTGATCCCTTAATCAGAAACAATGTTGCCACAGAATGTAAAGTAGTTGCCTGAAAGAACAGGGAGAAGAAAGGAAAGCTCGGAAAGTGCCGAGACGGCACACCGAGCCAGCTCTAGCAGTGCGGGCAGAGGCACAGCCGCTGCGAAGGTAAGGCAACCCTGTAACAAGACCTTGCAAACAGTTCTCTAAGACTCAGGACAAGCACCGTGAAAGCGCTAAGAACCTGCAGACGACGGCGCCCTCCGCCGAGCGTTCGCGCCCCGCGCTCAGCGCCCTGGTCGCCGCGGCGGACGCGAGGTGTCCGGCTCGAGGGGCTGCCCCGGAAAGG